TCTGTCCTGGTTTCCGCAGACAGACGACCAACAAACAAAGGTGGCAGCCGCTACTTCTATCTACTCAGTGTATGTATGTCTTTAGGTCCGTGCTTCCCTGTTTCCTCGTTGCCCCTCGCCCCGCTTCAATATCACTCTCTGTTTCTTTTTTTTCTTTCTGGCATTTCGCTAATGGTGTGTGCGCTATAAAGCTGGCTAATGCCCGTAGAACCCTTTTTCGCTACACTCCCTTTTTCACTCTCACTCTGACGCTGTGTCCCTCTGCCCTATAATTGCCATCCTGCGTTTGGGCATGCGAAAAAAAAATAAGTATAAGTAAGTATTGAACTCTTCCCTCCCTGGGTGCCTTTTGTGTAAGGCAACAAAGGTCCTCAAAGGCTGTAGAGTACTATGTATAACAGAAAATAATTGAATGGCAAAAGTAACATTTTGTTGCATTTATATTCAGCTGACTGATGGATGACTGAGACAGGCTGGGTGTACTGTGTATATGTATGTGCTTGGGATCCCTGGCGAGCCCCTGTCGAGTGTTTTGTCCTGGCCATTGATGTGACTGTTTCGATAATTGCGAGTTTTCCACAGGAAATCGACAATTGAAACGGTTAATTGTGGCTACTCACTGTTGGCCAAACAAAGCCAGTCATTTGAGAGGCGTTGCTTTTGAAACAACCGATTCTAAAAGTTGACTCAAAAACTGTGTGCAGCTATTGAATACAAATATACCCATTATATTGTTAAATATATTTACAGACTCGAGATTTTGACTTGTTTGACAATCTCAACTGGCATGTCTTGGCATCAAATTTAAATTATTTCGATATTGTGAGGAGCTTAATTGATATTTATTCACATATACATTTCTATTAACTTGAAACAGAAATGATGTAAACAAATTAAATATTCTTTGGTACCAATTATAGGGTAGTTCGGAATCGGCAAGCACAGCCTTTAAGAAATATGCATAAATAGATTGAACAGCTCCAAAATGTTGTATAAATTTGCATATGGGTGTTTATTTCTAATTTGCCTAAAACTTTGTAAAATGTTTTGACCGAAACCCCAAAGGCAATCAGTGAAACTCAATTACTAGATGAAGGAGCAGCAGTATCAGAGTGAGATACAAGACGAGAAGGACGACAACGAAGAAGTAACGCAACAGTTAAATGGGTCATTTGGTCTATTTATCATTTCTGACTGGCCTCTGCAGCAGTTGGTCATTCAATTTGTGCCCTGTAACTGGCAGCAATCAATCAAAATGCGAAATTCTGAAATAGACGATAAAGCTGGCTGGGTCTCAACCCTTTTTTCAACACTAGTACAATGGAAACACGTGAAATTGGGTAATCGCTTGTGCGTCTGAATTGGACAGCCCCAAGAGTCAATTCAGGCCTCAATGTTTCTGATTCGTCCTGGTCCTGCTCTTGGTCCTTGTCCTTTTTTCGACTGCCACCTTCAAACGCTTGAATCGATACTGGGAAGACAAATTGTACGATTTGCCAGCAGTTGGCCCTCAGAGCCATAAAAATATATTTTGTAGCCAAATAAATAAATTTTGCAAGTGTACACGAGTATTTTAAAATTGCTTGCTCGCTGTAATTCAATCTTAAACTGAAATTGAAAGAGTTCAAAAATGCTGCCAACTAACACAAATTACATTCTCAGGCAGCACTTTAAATAAACCTCAACTTCTAGTGGACCAAATTAAAGCTTATATATTAAATATTATTGAGTTTTAAAAATGACTATTAGAGTGCCTTTTTATAGATTACTTGACAATAAAACGAGGAAAGAAAAAATGTAAAAGAGGCAAAAGCAGCGCACTTGAAAAAATATATTAATGATATCAGCAACTGCTCTCCTTCGTATTAGACCGGCAAAGAAATTGTAGGGGAATGTGGGGTATTGATCAGTATAAACAATCAGAAACGGCTGAGTCCGATTTTGTATACTCAGTCTTAATATATTTCTGCTGAGAGCAGTTGACCGCAGCGCAAATAAAATCATATTAAATCGTAATGTGTATATTCTATTTATAAGTCTGATAATGATAATATGTGATTCATATTTGGCAGCGGCAGCCAACGAAAAAGAGGGAAGTACAATCAATTTAAACATCAGTGAAAAACTAGACATTTTTATATGTATCAGTCCACCCTGGCTTCCAGGAAAACCGCTGTGAAACCATCACTAATCTACTTGCAACAGCTGAAGGCAATAATAATAACATAGCAAGGAATCACGTAGAAATCATGCCTGCAACCAACTTGCTGGCGGAGGCTCAGGTTCCTTTGATGGTGACTCCTTCCTTCTTCAAATCACAAGATTAGCACCTTCACTCGTGATAATAATAACGAGATTGTTCATAATTGTGCAGTAGAATTTACTTACGGCTGGTGCAATAATAATTGTGAAGCCAGGTAAGCAAATGACTCTCAATATTTCACAGTTTACATCTATTCTTTTGCAGTTTATTAAATGAGAGTAAATTGGTAGGCAAAAATAAATAAATAATGGTATTTATTGCGAAAAAATCAAATTGCTTATACGGTCAACAAAAATATAAAAACGATACAAATGTAAAATGTACTCGATTTCTGTTTTGTACATAAATGAATAAGAATAAGCATTTGTGACTTTCCCTAACATTCAAATGCAACAAACATACATTCGTATCAGGAAAGTCAGAAGCATATGCTCAGTCGGGGTATCTTGTTTTGTTAAATTATTCTAATTGGAATTCAAAGCCTTGCGAAATAATCCCTCATTTTGTCGCTCGTCAAAGTCGATTTAATTTTACATCTAAGCTAGCTCTGGAAAGCCAAACAATAGCAATTCAAATACAAATAAATAGGTGGTGCAATTGTGAATTTGTAAAAGGTGTCATCAATTTGCGGTAGCAGGAAGGCAGGTGGATGGCAACAACATGCGGCAAGTGGAACAGAACAACTCCAAGTTGTCACACGCTCTACTTGGGAATTGAAACGACGACTTTCACCCAACAACAGAGGAGAAGCGAGCTTGTTTGGACAGCACAGCATGTTTGCAAGAACGTCAGCCTTTTGGCATTACATCTTCATTTATCTCAAGTGATTTACACTTTTGTGTGTGAATCTGTGTGTGGATATATATATATATATATATAGATGTGTGTGTGTGTGAATGTGAGCACTGCTCCTCGCCATGTCCTTGTACACATGAATAATGCATTGTAATTTAACAGCATTCTGTAGTTTCAATCTTAATATTATCATCATCAACATCAGCATTATTATGCTCATCATCATCATGCAGTTCGCTTCTACAGCAGCCGTTGTGTTTAAACCTATTGAATTACAAATTTCTTCTCAAGTTGTGTAGTTGCAACTCATCCGTACGTTTCCTCATCCTCGTCCTGCCGTATCTTGGGTTGCCTCAACTCGCATAATTTATGACAATGCCAAATGCAAAATGCAAACTTAAACAATTTTGCGGTTTTGTAAGTGATTTCCAGCAAAACGCTGCGTCAACAGTCAAGGAATAAGAACAGAAAGCAAAAATACAATTTGTGTTTACATATATTATTTATATTAGTTGCACATAGATGTCTGCGTTTTGAGCTAAAAACATATGAGAGCTGCCTTTAGCAGAGCGCATTTAAGTAATCTTTAATACAGTTTTCAAATAATAGTACTAAAGCTTTGAATTACAATTTTAAGTATTTCGAAGACCCAATATTTTGAGTTTGCTCCAAGTACCCATTATTTAAATACTCTTTGATTACACAGATTTTCGATAGAAGCAAATTAAAGAAAACCAAAAAGGTATCAAGACAAAAGAAAACTCCAACAGCGGTTGGCACTTTTATGTGTTGGTCAGAAAAAAAATATAAATAAATATAGAGAAATTACTGCTAATTTATCTCTAATAACCGGTCAGCAAACCGCATGACAGGGCAAGAAATAATAATAATAGAAAAGAAAAGAGGATCACATGGCAAATGGCCATCAGTCAGCGTCAAAGAGAGAAAACTATGTGGAAACCCAAACTGAAACTAACCAAAAACGCAGGTCTCGAGGACAGCGGACTTTGTTCCTCCTTATTGCATGAGGGTTGTAAATAAGAGTTGCCTCTGGCACTCATTACGATTTGATTGCGATTAGAGCATAACTGGCCCAGCTGACAAGTACTAATCACCATCTACCTCATCTTGAATAAACTACATTTTTGAAGGGCCTCAACTTATTGATCAATCACAAAATAGAGCTAGGGAATCTGCAACGCCTTTTAGCTTACAAATATATATAATTTGAAAAAGAAAAACAAGATTATTGTATATGCATCCAACTTTGCTGAAAGAGCCGTGCCATGAATATGTTTCCTAAACACAGCCACTTTTATTGATTGACCGCAAACTTAGCTCCTATTTCGCACAATTGATTCTTGCAACTCAATTTGACTTTTGGTTTATTCACAATTTGGCACTGCACACTGGTTCAAGATTTGCATAAATTATACTTTATCATAGTTAACTTTATACATATGGTTAATGTGACAAATTTAAATTTCTATTCATAACTCATAATTCATAAGTGTAAGCCAATGATTTATTATATTATTAACGCTTATATTAATTTCTTGCCACTGTGCAAACTAATTTCTTATATGGAAACTGTTAAAATTATTTACTTTTGTGATTTCCATCATTTGGCCAGACCAGCGAGCCTATGAGCCGTGAATATATATTTACTTAACGCTAAATAAAGCAAACCACATGAATGAATTCCATTTGGCAAATTGAAGAACATTTTTATATTTATGGTTTTGGGACAGAGAGAGGGTGTTGGATGGAATACAAAACAAAAACAAAAGCATTTAGATGTTAGCGATGCTGGTCAGTTTGTAACCATTTATAATTAAGCAGCATTTCTTTATATGGTGGTTGTAGTAGAAGTAGTCGTCAGTGTCAGTATCTTGGCCAACATCTTTCTTATCTTCTTTAGCCACTTGGCCCACTTGGGGAATTAGTCGCGTTTGGATGTGCAAATGCCACAGATGGCCGTCACAATCATGGCCAGAATGAGCAATAGGCCAATGCGTATTAGCCAAGTGGCGTTCTCGTAGCTCACATCCAGCCAGATGTAAATAGAATTGATGGCTCGAATGTAGCGTATGTAGGCGGACATCAAAACACCATTCGGTTGCTGCCAGAAGGACAACGGTTCGACATCCCGCCATTTTGCAAAAGCCAGCTCCTTGAACTCCTCAACGCTGTTGGCCACTGGTAACTTCCGGAAAATGCCATCTTTCACATGCAATATTAAGGGCATGTCGTGCAATGAGAAACGTTTGAACGTCTGCGAATACTCCAGCTTCATGATGGCCACATTTATGTCGGTGTGCTGCAGTCTCATCTCTTTGGCGAACTTGCTCCAGATGTGATCAAACTTAAAGCAGGTCGTTATCAGTGGACTACAGAAACTGATCATCCATTCGTCGTGCAGCATCAGCTCCCAGGTGTCCTCGTCCAATATAAATTTCTCATTCTGTGGATTATCCATCGTAAAGCATTGCCGCAGCTCGTTTCCCACAACGCAGGCAATAAACAGCAATGTACACAACAAAATTGTTCGAATTTTCATGACATTCGATTATTTGTGGCTTTCAGAAAAATATACTTAATGTATATGACACTCACAAGTCAGGATTCAAACAGAATGACTTGAGATCTGAGATATACTGGCAAAGCCTTCTCAGTTATTGAAACGGGTCACTCAAATAAATATTGCTATTTACCTCTGTGCAAAAATTAATGCCATTTGTATACCTTTGCAAAGTATATATTCTTGATCAGCATATCGAATTGATTTGTATTTAGTAGCATTTTGTGTTCTTATTCATATAAAGACTATTTTTACTTTTCGCATTACTTAACAAATAACAGAAATAGCAACAACTGTCCATATTCACAGCATATTTCAACTTGCCAGCTAGCGAAAGGTAAATGTTATCAATGAAATTGAAGGTCCTAATCGGGCTAAAAAAAAAAAAGGGGATCAAATCGCTTCACTGAGCATTCAGGCAGCATTCAGCTTAGGGGCAAACAAACAACTTTATAATGAAAGGACTGCAAACCAAAAACCAAGAAAAAAACACAAAAAACATTGAGCTGTAAAAAGAAAAAAGGGCGGGGGTGTAAAAACCTACAAAACTGTTTCATTCTACTGCTAAGAGATTTAACATGTAAATTTGGAATTTGAAGATTGAAACCGTTTGCAAATATTGGAACTGAATGCCACAAATAAAACAAAACGTTACAGATATAAATTGAGAGAGAGGCAAAGACAGGGACATAGAGATAGAGATAGAGATAGAGATAGAGATAGATAGAGAAGCATATATATTGCAGCTATAGATAACTCCATAGGCTTAGGTACGCATCACTGACTAATTGGAGAGCCAACGACTGTTTGACACGCAGGCAGAGGCAGTGGCAGTGGCAGTGGCAGCGGCAGCGACTGAGGCACACCTGTGGCCAGGTAATGCCATCGAGACCTATGTCAATTGCTACTGCCACTGACCCTGCCCCTGCCACAGCCACTGCTCCTGCCCTTTGCCCGTGCCCCAGTCGAATAGACCTTGCGGCATTGTTCTAGAAACGTTTGTGTGTTCCCAAAAACAAAAAACAAAAAAAGAAGCAGTCTGCCAAGGTGAGCTCTATTTGGCATTGTAAGCGCTATGATGGATTTTCTGCATTTGCCAGTGGCTCGGCTGTGATTCGGAGTTTCCCACGCATCGAGAAGCGCGCTAAACCTGCAGCCATCACCTGTGTCCTTTTTATGTTCTCTATTTTGTCGAGCCCTTAGGGGTGTCCCGATTCCGTCCGTGACCATGTTGTGCGCTTATAGCACCCTAATCTAATGACAGACCCGAACAACATCGAATGTTGGTTCCCAGGCATCTTGCACAGCAATTGGCGCGCGCTTTAATCCCCTCCCCCTCTCCACTGCATCGTCCTGACTCTGGTGTGGGTATTTTCGAATAGTGCAGCAGTCGACAGCCGAGAAATTGAGAATAAATGTGTTTTGCTTCTATATGGGCAAGCAATTTATCTTTCATATTTCATATATTTCCAGTGCTAATCATGAGTCTAGCAAGTGCCAATATTGGCCAGAAATGTAGCCAGGAATTATTTGAGTATGAAATGTTATAATAACAGTAACAACTTTCTACAACAATTATATTTAAGAATATAATTTTAATTAAATATGAGTAAAGCTATATTTAACATAAAATTGATTGGATTTGTCATTATTGTGCTACGGTGCTATGTCTATTATCAATTCGATAAGATAAATAATTGCAAATCAATAAAGCCACATATCTTCCAAAATTTCAAAGCTATAGTCACCAACTGGTAGGTTGTAGGCGATATTCTGGAATAATCAACCATGTTCATGACCCCGATAAGTCATTGATAGTAAAGGTGGACAAAAATTGTTGTATCACGCCCACCCCCGCCCAAATAACGGTAAAAGCCTATATCTTTTGCAATTTAGAACAGTTACCAAACTTGATTGGTAACGTCCTTTAACCTTTTTTTTGGGATAAATGGTAAGGAAAAATGATTGAGACTGATTGATTACTGATTGAACTAATAAGAAAAGCTAAGCAATCTATACTTTCAAACAAGTTTTTGGAAAATATATTCTTTTACAATGCAATCCATTCACTTAAAAAACCTTTAATGGTAGGGAGCACTGAAGTATATACCGTTAGAAGCTGACCTCGGCAAATGGTTAATATTATTGTTGTTGATGTTGTGGTGCAAACAAAGCATGAGGTAATCGGTGGCAAGTCTCTTTTCATGTCTGAGTCACATTCGTTGGCTCAAATAATTCACAAAACAACAAGCAAGCACAACAACTACAGGAAACACAAGGAAATTTTCATAGAGAAGCGCAAATACCTGCACTACTAATTAAATATCATATTGCCTATTAAGGGGGGCAAACGGCGGATTGGGGCAAGTGGTACCTGTACCCGTAATAAAATAACGCCAGCCATTAGTGGCGTAAATTATATTCACTGCCGAAAAGCGAACGAAAATGGGACACGTGAGAATGGCAAATAACATTATTCCGCATAGACATGAAGCGTCGCTTATTTTGGTTTCGTTTTAATTAAAGCGGTGGCCAAAACCACGTACCACATAGAGAGGCACCAGAGTCACCAAAGTCATCAGAGCCACCAGAGCCACCGAAGCACCGCAGTGCAATGGCAACATTCTGTTGATTGCGAAACGCATTCATCAATTGAATGTCTCGGATCAACATTATTTAAATAACCTTCATCCAACCTTCACCCGGGTTAGAAGACACAACATGGCCGCCCAATAAACTATAAAATGGAGACAGACTGTTACATAAACCATTAAAATTACTCTTAGTTCCGATAGAACAAGTCAAGTCAATAAATTATTTCCAAGGTGCTGCTAGCTACTACTTATGGGCAGTCGAAGAGCCCTGCTCGTCCAATCTTCTAAATGGCTGAGAAGACTGATAAAATATGATAGATTCTTGCTTATGATTTTACATCAGTTTTCTGTGCTTACATCGGTCTCATCAGCTGCAGCTATCAAAGATGATTTACCTACGATTGGAGTCAGTGTTTTGCTAAATTTATTAGACAGTTTTACAGACAAGACGGGTTTCAGCTCACGTCAAACATGATTTGAAAACTTAACCAAATATTTGATTTTAATCGTTTTATGTTTTTAATTATGAACAAATAAGTGTATAACTTATATAAACATTGTTAGTTCATTTTGTTGGAGAGCGTTGTAAGAATATTGTTATCTCTATTAAACTTTTTTATTATTTCGGTTATACATTCCGATACTCTAAGTGCTTTAAGTTTTTTAGTAACTTGTATTATTAAGAACATCACTGATTTAGCTCCTTCATATTTCACCTTGATGCATTGCAATAAATTTTCAGCTAAACAAACGGTAATAACATTCGCGGAAACTTTTATCATATCCTCTACATCTTTATGCAATGGCGCCCATTGCGCTTCATCAAGACATTTACTGTGGGTACCAAGGAGTTCCTGTGCGACTTCCCGAATACGTTCAAAATTACCTAAGCCGAAACTAATCGTTCGATATTTGGGTATATCCTCCGTTAACTCTGATTGACATTCTGATAGATGAATCTAGTGGATTTGACATAGTTTAATGTGATTATCAGATTTATCAGCAAATCAACTTACGTAACTGACAATAACGAGCGCTACAACGAGAGCTAAGTATTTCATCTTGAAACTTTTACTTTGCTTTCCAGCTAGGTCCAGACTAAATATTGTTTATATAGACTTTTTTAAAGATAATCTACATCTACTGTGACTAAATGATTATGAACGGTTCAATCAGTCACAGAAATACTTAATTAATAACTGATAAAAATGATAAATTCTTGCTTATGTTTTTATATAAACTTTCCGTGCTTACTTGTTCTGATTCAGATATGATCAATATCAGACCTATATGGGTCAACTGCCTCCAACAGAAGTAAAAGTTCACTGAATATATAAAATCTGTCCAAACAGTTTAAAAAACATAGAACAAATTTTGTGTATCCTATTTATACCTATATTCTATACTTCGAATACTATAACAAATTTGTGTCAGTGGTTTGTTGATTTACTTTATAGCTCGAGCTATGCTTGAACTTGGCCCACAACTCCACAGAAAAGCCAAACTGTCTCCTTGATTGTTGGTCAAGTGTTTTTATAAAATTAGCTATACATCAGACTTTGCCTGAACATCTTTGTACTGATAATAATTGTTTCAGCTCTCGTTTTACATGATTTTGAGACTAAACCAAAGATTTAATTTTAACCATTGCTATACCCTGAACCCATTGAACATGGGTAAAAAGGATATAATTGTTTTGTGCAAATGTATATAACAGGCGGAAGGGAGCATATCCGACCCCATAAAGTATATATACTCTTGATCAGGGTCAACAGCCGAGTCGAGATAGTCATGTCCGTTTCTCCGTACGTACGTCCGTCCGTCTGCATGAACACATATAACTCAGAGATCTATCGACTTCAAATTTCCGTTATTTTATCAACTACCTCCGTTTCTCGATTATCGATACATTTCAATTTCCGATAACAATAAATGCTACAATTTTGAAGCACAATTACAATTCTTATTAATACATAATATGCATATACATATTATTAATGAACTGCCCAAACTTCATCAAGATTGGGTGAGAAACAGCCAAGTTATAGTCGAAAGTATATTCTCATATTCAACTCATTTCTATCAAGCATTTTCTGCATGTGTGAGAAAGAGATGGCATGATAATCGACGCGAGCGTGTGTGTATTCTGCAGAGCACCGTTACCTGCGATTGCCTGTACATATGTATGTGTGTAAGTATGCATGTGTATGCACCTGTTTGCCGCCAGCCAATTAGAATTAGTTCGGGCTTGTGAATAAAAATATGCGCTGCATTTGCTATGTTTTTATTTAAAATATAATTAACAGCAGGGATGGATGCAGGGTATATCGTAGTCGAGCTCACTCGACTACAGCATTCTTACTTGTTTTATTTATTATTGTTATAAACCGTATACACCTATGGACATTTAAATAAAACAAAAAATAAAAGAAAATAAATAAAATTAATTAAAATAAAGAAATAAACTTTTATTATTGATTGAACTGCCTTGCACACCGTTATTATTGAGAATCCCGTTATTATTGTTATTTTATCTGTATGTGGCGGATCTTCTTATGATTGAGGTTATGTTTATCAGTCCAAAATACCTGCAAACAATATAAGAAAATATTCAATTTTTCCTGTGTCCAAACACTTTATTGACAAACTGTACATGTTTAAATTGATCGAAGTTGCTTCCAACTGCCTGCATTTGTTATTATTGGAATACACATTTCAAATGAAGATCAACAGATATTCCATCTTCAAACTGAACTTTATAAACATATTATTAATGTTCATCTACAGTAGACACATTGAAAGTATTCCCGTTTATTTGTCTACTCTCTTTAAGATCGTCCACTTTAAGATTTGATGCTCATCATTTGTATCTAAAATGGGGAACTAATTTCAATCGTTTTTAAAATGAGCACTAATTCTGTAATAAGTAATTAAATATCTATTATATTTTGATGTTACTGCGAAATAAATAAATATATATAAATATATATAAATATATATATATATATGTATATATATATATACACGTGCGACCTGTCTGTCTACGCTTATCTGTTGCCGTGAACTTAACAAATTTGAGCAAAAGCTCGAAATTAGAACCTGATCCAGGTTCCTCTAAAGCCATTGACGTCGTCTATTATCAGTGGTACTTGATAACAGCATCGTTCAATGCATATAAAATGCTATAAAATGTCGGTAGTCCAACACTGAGAATTCAGTCTACATCTAATTCTATTGAGACCAGCTGGCCATAGCAGGAAAAGATGGAATTAAATTGGGTTGCATTTACTTTATGGATAAGTCTGATCCTGATCAAAGGCGAATCCGCTGTCGTATCTACAGCTACAAAAAATGAGGTGAATAAATAAGAATTAATTATATTAGACAAGCGAGTTATTCCAATTCTAAATTATATCAGATCTGCAAAGCATCAAGGATAGAGGAGGAACAATGCGGATCATATGCCTATAAGGCCATGAAACCACTGCTTATCTACGTAGAATTGATGAGGACAAACGTGGAAAACCATGATAATATAACATCCATTAAGAATATGGAAATAAAAAAGCAACAATTGAAGATATCCCAACTTGAATTAGAATTGAGAGAGCAGATTAATAAGGGATTGATCAGCAGTAAAGACAATGAATTAAAGCAGTTACAGCAAAAGTTGGACCAGAAGAATGAATGTGAAACTAGAATTCAGGAACTGCGAAACTATAAGGATAGAACAGCAAGGCAGGACTCTGAAATCAAGGAGTTGCAGAAGAAACTAGTTGATCAAAATGAAAATGTCGCCATCATACAGGAATTGAGAAATCAGATAGATTCATACAACAAGAACAATGACAATTTGCAATCAATCAGGAATGAATTAAAGAATTTGCAATCAATCAGGAATGAATTGAATAAGCTCAATTCACAGAAATGTGAGGAATGCACAAGTGATTTAATCACCAAACAAAAACTTCAAATCGAAAGCGATGCAATCAAATTGCAGGAGTTGCAGAAACAGTTGGAGGAACAAAAGAAAAATATTGACCAAAAGAACCAGGAAATATCCAAATTAAAAGATCATATTAATAGCGAGGCAGTCAAATCGAAGGAGTTTCAGAAACAGTTGGAAATATCCAAACTAAAAGATCATATTAATAGCGAGGCAGTCAAATCGAAGGAGTTTCAGAAACAGTTGGAGGAACAAAAGAAAAATATTGACCAAAAGAACCAGGAAATTTCCAAATTAAAAGATCATATTAATAGCGAGGCAGTCAAATCGAAGGAGTTTCAGAAACAGTTGGAGGAACAGAAGAAAAATATTGACCAAAAGAACCAAGAAATATCCAAATTAAAAGATCAAATTAATAGCGAGGCAGTCAAATTGCAGGAGATGCAGCAATCCATTGAGGAAAAGAATCAACAAATATCCAAATTACAAAACGATGTAAAAAATTGTGAAGTGAAATTGGAGGCCTTGAAGGAGAAACCTATTATTGGTTGCACTTCTTTTGGAGATGATCCGGGTGTTCATCAAATCAGTTTTTCTAATTACTCCTTTGATGCTATATGCGACTCGGAGACAGCAGGTCCTGGATGGACAGTTATCCAGCAGCGAATCAATGGTAAAGAAGATTTCAACAGGAATTGGACAACATACCGCGAAGGCTTTGGTTCCTTTGATGGAGACTTCTTCTTGGGTTTGGAAAAGATCCATCGCTTGACGAGATTCAAGCCCCATGAACTCTATATATATCTGGAGAAATTTGATGGCAAAATAGAATATGCGAGATATCAACAATTTGCCATTGCTGGCGAAAGTGATGAATACAAACTGAGCATAAGTGGATGCAGTGGCAATGCCACAGATATGTTGTCAAAAAATAACAATAATAAGAAATTTTCGACATATGATCGTGATAATGATGGCTGGAATGATGGCAATTGTGCATTAAAACATCTTGGTGGATGGTGGTACTCTGACAGGTGTGACTGGGGGTAAGCAAATGACTCTCTTCTTCATCTCTATTTATATATTTAACTGTTTTCTTCTTTTATTCCACAGTAGATTAAATTCAAAGTACTATGACAGTTTTGATGACTGGAATGATGATGGTATAATTTGGTTGTACCGAGTCAAAAATGTTAAAATGCTTATTCGCCCAACATAAATATAAAAATGATGCAAATTTAATATGAATTGTACTTTGGAATTGTAAATGTAATTAAAAATTAACTCTCAAATAATTAAATTGGCACTGTAATTACATCAAATTCTATGAATTTCTACTCATTTGTAGGTCAAGTAAACTTGAGTCTCACAGGGATCTGGAAAAATGGATAAAAATACCTGAATCTATCAGTAGCATCGATAAGCAGTAGATCCAAGGAGGTGTCAAATAGTCGTGGAATGGTAGTGCAATAGTAGTAGAATATTAGTAAATTGTAGTAGGATAATAGTAGAATAGCAGATGAATAGCAGTAGAATATTAGTAGAATAGAGACAAAGATCAGCTGCAGACTTTGTCTGCTAGGTGTCAAAGGGTTATGAATGTATGCGAAAATAGCAGCAACGTTGAATGTGTATGTGAAGGTGGCTGCAACTCTCTCTCCCTTTGAGTGGAATTCGGAGCAGTGCAAGAACAGCTGATGACGAAACGAGTGCAGCTGTTCCAAATCACTCTCTTTCTCCCTCGCTCGCTTGCTGGTGGCATAAATGAAACAGCTCAGATTGCAAGCACTTTTTGTCTGTCGTTTCAATCTTTATCAATATGCCCGACTGCACTTATCAATCAGCTTCTTCTTCTTCTTCTTCTTTGGCTTCTAGATGGACACAAAATAAAATGTGACTTTAGTTTTTCAAGTGTTTGTAAAGGTTTGTCAAACGTCTATTTTATATTCCCCAGTTGTAAATTGTCTTTATTTAATTTCTAAATTTGAATTTATATTTTGTATTGTTGTAAATAACGTCAAACCCGGTTTCTAATTATGGATTATCTTTATTATGTGCGGGTGCGTCTTTACTTACTGAAGAATTCCGAGCAACTTAACTTTGGAGAATACAATGCAGAAAAGAACACAATACATGTGTGACCAGAGCTTCGATATTAATCGATATGGCGATACTTAAGTATTAATCGCTGCTCTGCTATTCAAACATATTTCAACATTTATATTAAAATTTAGTAAAAAGAGTCAAATAAAATATGGATACATGTTGCAAATATGTAAAAGATCAATACAAAATTCCGATTACTAATGTTAATAACAGATATATCGATACTGCGCTCGATACCCCCAACTATAATTATACACTGAATAAAGTTATACTTAGTCTAACAGCCAAACAAAATAAATGTATTTATATATAAATACATATATATGTATGTTCTTGACCAACATCAACAACCGCGTCTGTCTGTCTATCAGTTTGCACAAACTACTATCAGTAGTCGCACACAACTCTATAAATATATATGTAGCCACAGCATGATAAGCTACGAAATCCGTATATATGTGTCATTTGTAGCCAAAGAGATTTATGAACACATATATATATACATATATACTTATTACTCAAATTGCCAGAATATTTTGCAATTTTTTTCTGAAGATTTGCTGTTTTTTAAATGGCTTCTTGGAAATGATGAAATGTAATGAAAAAAAAAATCAGAGCTGGGCAGGGAGTGTGTCGCCTCAACTGGAATTAGATGCAGCATCCTCGGGTAAATCGCAGTGCATATATCCCAGTTATAATTATAATGACTGCTGACAGAAATATACATTTTGCATTTTGAGATAAATTTCAAATTTGACCAATTGGCACTGATTGACTTTATCAAAATATTCCCAGCTCAATTTTGCCTACATTTTCTTAGAGTGGAAATGCTAGTGTTTAATCTATGCAGGATATCTGCTGTTGCTGCAAGCCAACTACCGAACATTGAATACCTTATCTGATATAACATATATACATACATATATATATATATATATATATATATAACATACACCTATATACATACATATATAGATAGTAAATAATATTATAATCTTTAAGCTTGGATTTGACAACAAATACAAAACTTATTGTTTATATTTTGATTAGTAACATATAAAAATGCCGTAGTTGTGCTATTTATACGCTGTACCCACTAGAAATGATTAATCAGGGTATATTGGTTTGTGCAACTATATGTAACGACCCCTTAAAGTATATATATTCTTGACCAGGGTCAACAACTTAATCGATATAGCCAATTCCGTCTGTCTGTCAGAGACTATAAAAGCTAGAGACTTCAAATTTGACATATACGCTCTCATATACCCGGCGCAAATCAAGTTCGCTTTATTTTATCGATAACTGCTTGTGTCTCGAATATCGATACATATCAATTTCCGATAGCAATAAATAATACAACTTAAAAGGCAGCATCTTCTTATTAAAACATAATATGCATATGCATATTATTGATGAACTGCCCAAACTTCATAAAGATTGGATGAGAAACAGCCAAGTTATAGTCGAAAGTATATTCTCATATTCAACTCATTTCTATCAAGCATTTTCTGCATGTGTGAGAAAGAGATGGCATGATAATCGACGCGAGCGTCAATTTGTCTTTGTGTGTGTTCTGCAGAGCACCGTTATCTACGATTGCGTGTATGTATATATATATATATATATATATATATATATATATGTATGTATATTCACGTGTTTATCGGCAGAGCGCACTGTCAGACCTACTCACATTTGGATACAAAGCTTTATAGGGATATTTGGCAATAATTTTAGAATATATTTAACAGCTGGGTTCAGGGTATATCGAAGTCGAGCTGACTCGACTACACAAATCTTACTTGTTTAATTTTAATTATGTATATATAAGTGTATAAATTAACTTTCCTTAGTTGTAGACATTTTTTGGGAAATCGTGTTAAAAATATTAACGTATTTTGAAAGGATGCTTGTTGTTTCATTTTCACATCCCGATGCGCAAATTCCTTTAATTTTCGTAGTTATTTGTATTGTCAGGGAAATCAGCGACTTAACTCCTTCATATTTCACCCTGACGCATTTCAATAAATTTTCACTAAGACAAACGGTAATGATGTTCGTTGAAACTTTTATCATCTCCACTAAATCCGTAATCAATGGCGCCCAATCGCCTTCTTGAAGAAACTTATTTAAAATTTTAAGGAACTCCTGTGCGACACCACGAACACGTTTAAAAACACCTAGCCCCAAGAGTACCGCTTTAAAAGTGGGCACAGCCAACATTAGCGATCGAAATTTGGGTATATCCTCCGTTAACTCTGATTGACATTCTGATAGATGAATCTATTGAATTTGACATAGTTTAATGTGATTATCAGATTTATCAGCAGATCAACTTACGTAACTGACAATAACGAGCGCTACAACGAGAGCTAAGTATTTCATCTTGAAACTTTTACTTTGCTTTCCAGCTAGGTCCAGACTAAAAATTGTTTATATAGACTTTCTTAAAGATAATCTACATCTACTTTGACTAAGTAATTATGAACGGTTCAATCAGTCACAGAAATGGTTAATTAAAAACATATAAAAAATTATCAATTTTTACTTATGTTTTTATACAAACTTTCCGTGCTTACTTGCTTCTAATTCAGATACCTATATGGGTCAACTGCCTACAACAGAATATATAAAATCTGTCCAAACAGCTTAAAAAACATAGACAAATTTTGTGTATCCTATTTATACCTATATTCTATACTTCAAATACTATAACAAATTTGTGTCAGTGGTTTGTTGATTTACTTTATAGCTCGAACTATGCTTAAACTTGGCCCACAACTCCACAGAAAAACCAAACTGTCTCTTTGATGGTGGAGCAAGTGTTTTCATAAAATTGATTGAAAATCTTTTTACTGGTAAGAATTGTTTCAACTCTCGTTTTACATGATTTTTAAATTCAACCATAGATGTAATTTTAGTAGTTTTTATGGTTTTTAATTATGTAGTAGTAGGCATTCTTCCCATATTTATAGTCAGTTTTTGGGAAATCGTGTTAAAAATATTGAAATATTTTGTAAAGATGCTTGATGTTTCGTTCTTACATCCCGATGCACAAACTCCTTGAATTTTCATAGTCATTTGTATTGTCAGGGAAATCAGCGATTTAAATCCTTCATATTTCACCTTGATGCACGTCAATAAATTTTCACTTACACAAACGGTAATAACATTCGTGGAAACTTTTATCATCTCCACTAAATCCGTAATCAATGGCGCCCAATCGCCTTCTTGAATAAATTTATTTAAAATTTTAAGGAATTCCTGTGCGACCCTCAGAACACCTCTAATAATAGTTAGCCCCAAAATTAGCGTTCGAAATTTGGGTTCATCCTCCGTTAACTCTGATTGACATTCTGATAGATGAATCTATTGGATTTGACATAGTTTAATGTGATTATCAGATTTATCAGCAAATCAACTTACGTAACTGACAACAACGAGCGCTACAACGAGAGCTAAGTATTTCATCATGAAACTTTTACTTCGCTTTACAGCTAGGTCCAGACTAAAAATTGTTTATATAGACTTTTTCAAAGATAATCTACATCTACTTTGACTAAGTAATTATGAACGGTTCAATCAGTCACAGAAATGCTTAACGTATAAAAAATTATCAATTTTTACTTATATTTTTATTAACATTTTCTGTGCTTACTTGCTTCTCATTTGCTACAGCTATCAAATATGATTCACCTATTATCAGTATCAAACTTATATTGTTTGCGCTTGGGTCAACTGTCCTCAACTTCAAACTTTAAATTCAATAACCAGACACAACGAAGAGACATAAAACTCAAATAAATGGGACTAAATGCATAAAAATTTTATATATAAACCTAGATAAATATATATTTATATTTTATATTTAATATACTGTAATAAATTTGTGATAAAGTAACTAAAAACAAGACTAGAAGCTGTGCTTTAATCGATTCAATATATTTAATGCCTGGTTTCAAGGTATCTCCTAACTTGTTACTTAGCAATGCTGTTATCCCTTAAGGGGCATAATTTTTAAATCACAGAACTGGGATCTTGACCAGTCAGTTGAAACTGCTGAATGGACAAAATCGAGCAGTTGGCAACTGTTGCCCATGCCAACTGGCCGTAGTAAGTATATCATACATGCAACATTAAGCTCAACAGAATGGCTAAGACTGTAGCAGAGCACAGCAGAGCATACATTGCCAGCAGTTTGTTGGCCAAGTCAACACGTAAGCAGAATCCCAATCTGTGCAAAAGGATTGCCGTTGTTAGTCCTCCTTGTGTGCGTGTGTGTGTGAGAACTTGTGTGTGCTGACCTCAGTACATTTTGCGAATGTCAGAGTGAAATCCGGACATTTATCATGATTCGAATGAATTATTGAAGTATATTTCGCTGGCATTCCCTATTGGGCTATCGAAGCCCCAAACAAATCCCATTCCCTTTGTGGCGGAAACGGGTTAGGTCAGTTGGTCGTTGTTCGTTGTTCGTTTTTCTGTCACAGGATTTCAGTGATTTGTTGTTTTACTTCATTGCTCGAACTGTGCTTAAACTTGGCCCACAATTCCACAGAAACACAAAAAAAAAAACAGAAGCAAACCCAAACTCTCTCCTTGATAGTGGGGTTAGTGTTTTGCAAAATTGATTAGATAACCGACTTTGCCTGAACATCTTTGTACTGATAAGAATTGTTTCAGCTCACATTTTACACGATTTGTAATTTTAACCAAACATTTGATTTGAATCATTTTTTGTCTTGTATACTCGTATATAAGTGTGTAACTTATCTTCACATACTTATTGCATTTTTCTGGCGAACGTGCCTATAACACCTAACCCATCCTTAAGTCTGCCGATTCCTCTCAGTCCCGCATCCAGGAGCCCCATTTTGAATTTAAGCAATCGCTCAAGTAAATCTGAACCGGAATCTTCCGATTCTTCACATTCTGATAGATGAATCTATTGGATTTGACATAGTTTAATGTGATTATCAGATTTATCAGCAGATCAACTTACGTAACTGACAATAACGAGCGCTACAACGAGAGCTAAGTATTTCATCATGAAACTTTTACTTCGCTTTACAGCTAGGTCCAGACTAAAAATTGTTTATATAGACTTTCTTAAAGATAATCTACATATACTTTGACTAAGTGATTATGAACGGTTCAATCAGTCACAGAAATACTTAATTAAAGTAATTATTACTCGAGTATTTGCACTAATTACAGAGAGAGGATGAGAGAGTTTGTTTCAGTAATTGCTGAAGTAATTAATCCCTAAAAGAGTAATTACTTACAAGGCCATATGTCTGCAAAGCATTTGTTTTAGGTTATCTGCAAATGGTAGGGGACTAAGAAAGTTAGTAACAGACAATCAAAACCAAGTCAATTGTCCCATGATGAGTTCAAAGTACTTGGCGTGCAGCTAACGAGTTGAAATGCTAGAGAAAAGTTTTTTTCCTTTTTGTTAATTTTTTATTGTATGTCACACTTTTCTTGTATTAAATATACAGCCCCCCCAATAAAATATTTAGTTTTGTTGTGGTGTAGGCTGGGTGGTGTTACATAATTGTGAACACGCAGAAGCTTTGTAAATTACTTAATCTGCATGCAGAGACAATTACCAATCAGCCGAATATTTAGCGTTAATCGCTTTAAACAATGCCAAGTCAAACAATTCAAGGAATTTCGGGACACGCAATTGGCATTTACTGTCTTCAACTAATTTTCCCCAGCCCGGTTGCTCGGACCAGCAGCATTTAATGAGCGGGCCCCAAATCGAAGGCAACAAACGATTTTGGGGCAATCAGTCAACACTCCAGTTCAGAGAAACAACAACCACCCGCAGGTACCCCGGTCCCCCATCCACAGAACGTGTCCAATTTTACTAATTAGATCAAATATTTGTCTACTTGATAAATTTGGTGAAGCCAGCCCCACACCACCCACTTTGGCACCGCCCACTCATTACCAGCACGCACAGTTGAGCCAGCATTTGGGTCTTGGTGGGTATTTGCCCCAACCCCCAATGGGACCCTCAGCACAGCCATGGAATTTAATTACGCGGCCCAGGTCGAGGAGACAAAAATCAGTCAACCCCATTTATTGCCATACACCACCCACTTCCCAGGGATTTGTTTGCTTTCTAGGAATCACTTTTATGTGCCTTTCTAGTTGCCCCCTACCAACCCCAACCAACGCTCTTTTGTTGCATGTTATACTTTATCATACTGTATTGCCTCCTTGTAATTAAAGATTTAATAATATTTTGTGAGTTTTACGAAGGCTTACAGTCAAGTGTTGTCATATTGCCTTAAAATTGAGTAGATGATTGGTATACAATACAAATATCATTAGCGACTATCACAATCAAGTATCTAGCTTCAGCACCTTTAATCAAAATATGAAAAAAATGCTCTCTCTTTGCAGAATTGAGTGAAAGTTTCAACTCTTTTGAACATCGAGAAGAAAGGGTACAGACTTGTCGAGCACTCTCAACCATACACTTTCAGTTGGCATTGTTTACGACTGAATTTTAATGAGATTTTTCTTTTATTATTATAAACACATTACAAATTTATGAAGCCACAGAGATTGGTTTGTTTCTTACAACTCAATTAAATGTGAAATAAAATGATTGCTGATTGCATCTGACTCAAACATGAATTTGGCAATATAATTATAATTGAATGATTACACAAAACTAATTTAAAGTAAACGTGCATATAATAGATACTCACATCATCAAAAATGCCTATCTATTGCCACGTGTTCGGCCCACGTTCGATTTAAAGAAAACTAGCCGAAAAGTGGGGGAATTAGTCAGAGATTTGAAAGCTTCGCCGATTACTAAATTAAAAATACAGTGAACAAAAAATATAAAAACGAACAGACAAGAAATATCATTTATCTTAGACACGCCGAATATTGCACACCCTTGTAGACTTTGCTTACAGTTAAAAATAATATGTCTTTGTGCACTTTAAACAATTTTACTTTAAATAAAAAATGTTTCGCCTTAAGCTATTCTTTCTAATTGTTTATCTCGTTTTATGTCATGCATGTCAATATAATCGTATCTTTCGATTGATTTTCCGTTCCGTACATATAATATATATAACAAGTTTCAGCAAGATTGTTGTTAAGCTGAGGGAATTAAGTGCATATAAGAGGAAAAAAATTCCGATAAACTTACCTAGCTATATGAAATCGGAGACGTCGCCTTTAATGCGTTGCATATCAGTAAACATATCTAAAAGACCCTCTAAAAGGGTATATAAAAATTAGTAAAAATCGTTATGCCAAGAATAATACATACATATGTGGATATGTACATATATGAAAAGATTAATTATACATTTGGCACTGACAAGTTATCCATGCTTTTTACATTGTTTTTGCTATTTGTTCTCTTCGCTGTCAGCTCTAAGTTCCCCAATTCGTCTTCACAATTAGTTCCCCATAAGCCAGATTATTAAGATCTTGCCCGTGTCGAAGAATCCAATTCAAACTTTCGCATGCGGCCTGCCTTGTTACGTAATTACGCCTTACACTTTAAGTTAAATAATATGAAAGTAGAAAAAAAAATGATAAGAAGAGGAAGCTTGTAATTCTTAAAGACTAATAATTTAGGTGAACTAAAAAGCTATTAACGCATAAGACACGACCCGCTTGTGACAAACAACAAAGCACAAATGGAGTTTATTGCTCTTTGCCGAGATTGGGACACTTTCTACATGAAAGGATTATTAAGAGATTTTCTCAGAGAATCAAAAGTTTTGCTATTTGCAACAGACTCAATAATTCTCGCATTTTATGGCACAAGTTTTATTCGTATTGTTTTGTGTTCTTTGTCGCTGCTGCTGCTGCTGCCTCTTCTTCTCCTTCATGCCCTCCCCCCCCTGCGCTGAGTAGTTAGTAAACTTTCTAGTGCGACCCATAAAATTATATAAAATATATAACCATTCACCCACCCTGCTGCGACTCCATCCTATCCCGCTTGAGCTGCTGTCAATGTCGTTTGCTGCCAAAAAGTTGAAAGTAAACAATTTTGTGGCATCACCAAAAACAATGTCAGAATCCCTTCCCACCACGCCCACCAGCTTTACAATTACATTAAATGTGTTTTCGATAAGATCAAGTCAATTTTGTATATCATGTCAATCCAATCGTAGTTGCCACATTCGACATTAGACAATCAACATGAATGAGTAAGAGGAGAAAACGCATAATTGTTGCAATAGCCGTTGAATTGCTGGCAATTAACACAGCCCCTCCTCCTTCCAACTAATGCAGACTACTTTTATGGCACTTAGTTCAATTTATCTAAAAGCACAGCATGTAACCATATTAATTGTTTTTTTTTTCCTTTTATTACGGAATAATAAATATAAGTACATTTGTATATGTGCAGCAAGAAAGAATGAAAATCATTAAATGAAGTACGTCCCATGAAAAAACACACAGTCCTTGCAGTTATGGCTCCTCGTACATGATATTACCAAACCCTGGAATACCATGAA